ATTACTCTTCAAATTAGGCATACTATTTATATAGGAGATTTATTCATCCTTTTGTGTTAAGGGTGATAAGGGGACTTGAAGTTCAATTTTCCCACAAGGATATGAGTAGGCATGGCCGTTATATTATATTTCACATAGAAGTGTTTTCCCAAAAGGTATTTTCATCCGTGATCGATGGCAGTTTTGACCTCGCCTAGGTTTTGTCAACACACCCAGCAGGATAAATAAAGTAGTCGATTGCTATAGCAAATACAACTTTGCATCATCGACGATCCCACCACGGAATGTGATATAGGAAAATGTCTAGCCTTCCTTGAAATTCGCATGTGTTCTGTGACTCAAGGGCACTCGTGGTATTGTGGCGTAGTGGTTAACGTGTCAAGATCATACGTTGCAGTGCCATGGTTTGAGTCCCGCTGGTGGATGTTGACAATTCGAACGAATCCGAACTGTTATTTGATGAGAGAAAAGCCAATGTAAATACAAATGAAAATTAATGGGTCGTAAATCACCAAAAATAGTATCTTAGTTGGTTGGAAATTTGGTGATTTCGTTAGATTTGTCTTCCTGACAATGAGTTTGGATTCGAGTGGAGTCACACCTGCGTGGCTACTTTGTGACGCGGGTTCATGATGTTGCCTACCAGCTAACCAATCAGGGGTTTGAGGCCGCAGAGGAGGCGTACCAATGTACATAAGAGTATATATATATATATATATATTTAAATCTTTTATTCCAATTCAGTAATAAAGAAATAAGAAAAAAATCCTTCCCAAATGGACCCTTATCTTAAATGCTTGTTGCTACTTATGATGCAACTAGCAAGTCTAGAAACGTTTTAGGATTTTGCAATGATTATTCATGTTTGTGAAGGGCCAATATGGTGAAAATGAACATATAGTCTTGAGCATAATTTACATTAATTTGTATATTATGAGGAATAGTATAAACTGTGATGAAGGATTATCTCGTAATTCACAATTAAATCTTAACTGAAGGTTGGCCATTGCTTCAAAGCCTGCCAGCCAACTACATTAATCTTGAAGGATTTCCTGAAGTCTTCGTTTCTTATAATTTTATTTTGCGCATCGAGGTGCATTAACTATTACTATACTTTGTTACATTTACCGAATTGCTTAATCCTGTTCCCCTCATGCATACTCGACTTGTGAAGCCACAAAGACGATATGCTGAGTTATTTATTTCTCTTACAAATTGCAATTAAAATTATGCAAAAGCTTAATATAGGTCAGCTCTCTCGTGCTAGTTACTATGGAAAACTGTAATCCGCTTTTTAGAATTAATTGGTCGTTGTAAGGATGTAGTAAGATTACATTTCGATTATCATAGCATGCTTGATGCATCTAATAATTTGTGCATGAAATATTTTCGAATTAAGAAGACCTGCTGGTACATGCAAAAATGTCTTAAAAAAGGCCGACATAAATACAAATATACAGTTTTACCACATTATTTGGTTAGCAAATCTGTGCAATTTAAGTTGCAGCAACGATAAGACAATTAAATATTAACCTGATAACTATTCTGGGCTTAATTAGATATTTATTCGAAAGTAATGTCCAAGGCTACAGATTCTAGTCACCATAGGCAGCCCCAGATGATAAAGACTGAAGTTTCTACAATATCATTTAGCTTCAGCCCTTCAGTTTCATTTCACTTAACTTTACCTCCCAAAATGTATCTTCATCCAGGATGGATTGAAGTTCCGACCCAGCCTGGGTCTCATCAGCACTCCCAACGGGAAGTTTATTTTAGATTTACTGATGATATGGAAACCAATTTCTTAAAATTTAATAATAGAAACGAATGTACTGGCAACGTACAAGTTTTTCTCGTCACAATCACAATATAAATGTGATATGGGCGGGGCCTAGTTTACTTTGAAATTCACGTCTTCCTTGTGAACCAAGCTCAATAGTAGCAATTTAGCATACGGTTAGCTGTTAAAAATGATAAGCTACAGGGTTCAATTAATGTTGAAGTAGTTGACGAGACACAGGCGAAATCTAAATTCCAGTCCAACCTTGATAAGAATACATTTTGAGAAGCAGAGCTACGTGAAATTCAATGGAATCGTGAGGCTTACTCATATCATTGTGGGAAATTTTGGGTACCAGTCTTTCATCACCTTATGCGACCTAGGGTGACTAGATGAATATGAATATAGTCTCCAAGGCATTATTTGAGCCATTCAACTTAAATGAGCATGACCACTACGTCTCTATGATTTGGGCCATAAAGACTAATTGAACGAGGGAAAAACAGGACCGAGAATGGATACGTCTGTAAGTGACTCTGATTAAATTGATGAAATGTAAGCATGAACGCGTGAAAGTCAAGTTACTAAACTACCAACCGAAATCCATCAACCTTGGGTCATTAAGGATTAATGAGCCAAGGAAAAGCATGGCTGTGATTACGTAATCTCGATCATCTGTTTTGTTTGATGAATTCAACATTCCTGTTGAAGAAGTGTGAATTTAGCAGACATTTAGCAGACAAGTTGAGTCGCCTTCTTTTAGACAGCGGCTCAACACCCTCTCTCTCTTTCAACCTTTCAATCTAGAAAAAGTAATTCTTATTCAGCTTTCAATCACCATTATTCACATTTGACGTATTCCCTAATATTTTAGTTTCATTACCATCAATTAGCTTTCATTTTATAGCAGACGTACTATAAACTTCGAACCTCTGAGTCTGAGACCATTCCATCTCATGTCCATCCTCCGCCCTGCTCCATCTACTTCGGCCTTTACAAGGAATTTTGTGCTCCGCTAATGTTTGGCGGATAGTCCAACAGGTCTCACCAACACACGTTTGACCACAGAAGCAGGCAATCTTGTGATAGCCGGATCTTGATAATGAGTCATCTTTCTCTCTAAAAGAAGGCATTACAGAAGAAAATGTCAGAGTTTCTTTAAAAACTGTTTCTATTCCCCACTTTTTCACTAGTTTGTCTATATTTATAGAAAGAAAGCAGGATAGCCAAACTTTTACTTCTAAATTAAAAGTTCGTTTAGACACGGATTCATAATTAAGCATAAACCTCATTCTGTCAGACTTCTCCCAAACTTTGCACCACTAACCTTGTTTTCACACTTACCCACCGAATACCTGTGACCTTATAAGATGTGGATTTCAATCTGGGCGGCTGAAAAGAAATCTTTTGCTTCGAGAGAAAACTTCCTCAAGGTTTTCTGATGTAGCTGCATGATGAGAAATAACAAAAGTTGTGCATCTCTCGTTGGTCACATACGGTTAGTCTAGTCATAGAGTGACTGGAATAGGTTGTCTTTTTAATGCTTTCCTAGCTAATAATCTAGCTGCCTATAGTGATTTCTACCTTAAGAACGAGATTAAATGATAACTTCGACAGTAGTATCATATAACATTTCTTAAAATCGCCTCGCGTTTAAAGGCAGCCCAATGCTCTGAAGCTGGCCTGAGAGAGGCCAACCAGTCGGAATGACAATTACTGTCGTTTAAGACACGGGATGCAATGGAATCCAGATTAAAAAGTAAGTATTCTATCTGACCTAACTTGGGATACGGAAGTATTCGTTGTCTGAAACTTAAAAATCATCAGATTCATTCGCTTTCGTTTTCTTTCCTTTTCCTTTGAATGCAATCACTTTGTACGATTCCCTTTTTAATTCGCATAAAAATGAGTCTAACACAATGTAAAAATTATGAATTACCAAGTTGGAATTTCTCGAATATGCTTGGAGTAACATAAAGTCAAGAAGAACTTGGTGCTTTATTGGAAAGATTTAATGAATTACAAATCATGCATTAGCGCTGATCGATGTCTCGGTCCCCACGAAGGGACTCTCTTATGTCAAACTAGGCAGATCTCCACTTTTTGCCAGTCCCTCATCATAGAGACTTGCCAACGTGGTGGCGTATTTCTTTTTAATCAGACCACGACGCATTTTCAAAGTTGGCGTCATCAGGCCGTTTCCCATAGAGAAGGGCTCATTGATGAAGGCTATCTTCTTAACCTGGGCATGAGTAAATGATGTAGAAAGGAAGAACAAGTTTTTTTTAAACTCTTAATTGGAGTAAACAAATATGACTAAATTCTGCGCTTATTTTCTGAGAATAAGGGATACAAATTATTCTTCATACCGAAATGCGCTTAGTCGAGACCCGTTCCAGGCCCCTGTACTGAATCCGTTCAAGCAGGACCTGGTTGAGAACCAATTTCTTTATCGGCTTGATTCTGATGAAGAAATCCGACAAATTGAACATGGCACATTGTTTTTCTAATCTTGTGAAGGCATGCCAAGTTAACCGAAAACGTCGCGTCTTTGTCAGCCCTCTTTAGATCCTTATAAGATCTGCTGTTGGTTGTGCACTAAGTCTTTTCTAGTTTTTGCAATGCTACCCAACCAAACATGAAACCAAGCAGTCATTCTACCTCGGTAAAATAGGTTACAATCCCATTTGTCATTACGTCATTACGATTGATTGTCTTGGCTGCTGATCATATGAATTCCGTCCAGGATGGTAGAAGCCTGATGTGCCATTGGCCTTCAGCTTTGGTTGTAGCCATAAATTGTTTCCCTTTTTCAACAGTGGACTCTTAAGGGGACGAAATAAGATATCTTTTTCGACCATGTCTGCTCCACTACACCAGAAAGTCTTGAAATAATTAGCAGCCTGACAGATGAGCTGGTTAAACTGAGCATTTTGCATGTAATTAAGGACAGGACAATTTATGTTCATCTTCTTGTTGATGTGTGTGTTCCCAAACGATTCAAGTCGTCTGGGAAGGGGGTAAAAAAAGTCCACTCACCTTCTCGAAGCCACATAATCCCTCTTCAGCAGCCTGCCCCAGCATGTCCTCAATAACCGCCTTCATGAAGCCTGGGTTGGTGATCGCTTCTGGGAGAACGAATACTTGCTCACCTAACAAACCCATTTGCTTCAAGTATTCCCTTGCTCCTTTCTCCGTTGGCAGGACAAGGGCGACGGGATAGGAGCAAATGCTGTTGCCGTCAACGAATATTTGGTCAATGTAGGGACTCTGAGCGTATACTCGCTCGAGCTTCTCAGGTGCCACATATTCGCCCTGGGACAATTTGAATATATTCTTGCATCTATCCACAATTTTTAGAGCGCCCTCCTGCGGAAGGAAAAATAAAATTATTTTAAAATCAAGTACAGACAGACCCACATACTTTATATCCAAACATACAAAAGTAGGAAAGGTAGGGATCTTTATAAACAAATAGATAAGTCTCTGCTATCATGAACACCAATTAATCTTAAAAGTGAGAATATTGGTTGCCACATTTATACCCAAGACAATCAAGCCGACTTTATATAAGCGGGATGACCTCGTTGTCGCAACTTGGTCTTGTTGTCAGGGCGACTTAGTAGGACACACCAAGTCCGAAGTCGTCTGCCATAGAAGTTGTCATAATTCCCAGCATCAGACAGTGGATTTGGTACATCCTCAAGCGTTTCGCCGGCATCGTAGTCGGAATCACCAGGGAGTTTTGCCATTCTCCGCACCAAGCTACGAACCCGTCAAAGAAACAAGTGAAGTAACCGTTTTCGGTAGAACGTTTGTCGAAGGAATGACTTCACTTGTCTCTTTGACGCATTCGTAGCTTGGTGCGGAGAATGGCAAAACTCCCTGGTGATCCCGACTACGATGCCGGCGAAACACTTGAGGATGTATCAAATCCACTATCTGATGCTGAGAATTATGACAATTACTATAGCAGACGACTTCGGACTAGGTGCGTTCTACTAAGTCGCCCTGACAACAAGACCAAGTTGCAACAACGAAGTCAAACCACTTCTATAAATGGAAAGAAGATTGTGACCATACCAGAGGCCACATCATCTTGGTATTCATATCTTCAAGCCAAATTTGGTTTAAAAGGCAGATCCACTTTTGGTCTGGTGATTAGCTACAATTCACCCTAGCCGGAGTAACAAGTGCAAATCACTGGCAAAGGAGAACAAAGATGGTTGAACAAATTGTGCTGAATACACTAATACTTTCTGATGGGAATCCCCTAGTGGCCCACGGAAATTGATGGTTA